CCATGCAGAGCTTGTGTCCATGTGGAGCGCGCATGTCCACACACAGCTCATCACCGGCTGATGTGCCAGCCCTTGGTGCCTGGAAGCAGGTATGGATACCTGCAGCAGCCACGAGAAAACGCCAGATGAAACCAGAATGAGAACCACTCTGAGTGAAATACAGGGCTGGGCACGCATGTGCCCATGCAGACACACGTGTGTGTCCCGAGTGGTGGAGCAGGTGGACCCCTGTCCACAACGGAGAGTCCAGGGAAAGGGTGGTCTCTCCTCTGCACCTATCTTACTTTGGAACTTTCTGTGAGGGTCTGTCCATGTTGGAAGTTGGGCTGAAGCTCAGCAGCGGGGCTGAGCAGACCCGGGGTGGGTGACCGGGCCGCGTCCAGGCAGCCGGTGTCGGGAGTGTGTCCCATCCTGGGGGATGTGTGTTCTGTGGCGCGGGGCTGGCAGCTGTGCTCAGACGCACACGAGCCACAACGGCTGTGCCTCTCAGGCCTCTCCGGGTTTCGGACACTGACTCACGCAGACGGCGAGGAGCCCCAAGTGTCCAGCCAGTGGTCACCCGGCGGGGGTGATGGGCCCAACCAGCCGGCTGCCCGCCTTTACCGCCAGACCCCGGGGGCCGGGGGTCCCGAGGAGGGCAGACGGGGGTCCCCAGGGGTGCAGACGGGGGTCCCAAGGAGGGCAGACGGGGGTCCCGAGGAGGGCAGATGGGGCCCAGGACGCCAGCCCCCTCCCACCACGTGCATCCTGGTTCTGCAGCTCCCTGAACTCCACGCAGGAGCCTGGATTTACCACCGAAGAATTCCAGGAATTTCCTATTAGTCTGAAAAGAAAACCCCTTCAAGACCTCCTTCGTGGCTCTGAGGGGCGTGGAAGGGCCCTGTGCTCCTGGAGGAGGCCCTGCGTGCAGGGGTCGGCCCTGGGTGGGCCCAGCCTCCCGCCTGCTCCCCTGGGGCCGGGCCGGGCTGGGCCGGGGAGCCTGGGGGCTCCTCTCCGGGGCTCGCGGCACCCCGGGCTTCCTGTCTGCCCCGAGGCCTCTGGACGGCTCTGTGAAGCTCCCTGCGGGCTGGCCCCGGCCCCTGGGCTGGCAGCGGTTCACTCGCTGTGCCGGGAAATAGTGCTGCTCGGAACACTCTCTTTCACTTTGGAAAAACACATCCAGCGACTGTAAATTATACCTAACTCGACTCTATTTGTTAATGGAAATTTTACGGCTAAAGCGAGGCTTCTGCCAGCCGCTCTCAGCTTTGTCTCAGACAGGAGATGCCCGGGACGCCTGATGGCAGCGGATCCCAGGCCCCAGGGGCTGTGCCAGCGGAGGGGCGAACACTAGGCGCCCTCTGGCATCTCCCTGGGAGGGTCTGTTCTCAGAAGCATGGAGTATGTGATGCAACTGTGAGCAGATGGGGCTGAGAGCAACACCAGAACACAGAGAGCTGGGGGATGCGCATGTGTCCCCAGGGGGCTCCCACAGGCACCCCAACCTGCCAGCGTCCCCGGGGGGCTCCTGCAGGCACCCCAACCCAGCCAGCATCCCCAGGGAGGTCCCCATGTGAGTCCTGGGGGGGGGTTCCCATGTGTGTCCCCGGGGTGGTCCCGCTGCGGCCGTGCCACCCCTCCCGGCCCCACCCTCTGATCTCCCCTGCTGACTGCTCAGGCCTCCTCTTGGCCCTCCTCTCCTCTCAGGGCCCCTCCCCCAGCCCGTCCCACACCAGAACCCCTGAACCCCGCTGTCCTGGGATGCTCCGGACCCCGCACACTCCCGGGTTGTCTGCTGGCCCTCCTCTGACCCCTCAGGGCGCCCTGACCTGTGTCCCGGGGTCAGGGGCCTGAGGACCCTTGTTTCCTGCAGGGGTCTCAACCCGACGCCCCCGCCCCCCCAGCCTGCACACCCTTCTCCAGCCTCGTCCCGGGGGCACCCCGTCACGGGCACTGAGGACTGTGTGGCCGTGTTGCCAGCCACCACGCTGTGGACGCCCCGTGATGAAAGCAGGTCATCGAGCGGGGATGCAGCCCAGGGGAGCCACGGGACGGGCTCCGCACCAGCCGTCCAGGAGCCCCGCAGGGCGATCCCAAGTTTTCATTAAAAGCACAGTCAGTGCCTGGCCCACTGGGCCAGCTTCTGTGGACACACTGGGAACACGCTGTGTTGCTGGTCTGGCTGAGGCGGCCAAATGCGCCCGAGCTGAGGTCAGTCCAGGTGCTGAAGGGGCTGCCGGAGGGGACATGCCTCCCACCCACCGTACTGAGCTCAATGAACAGGTTCAGTTCAGTTCAGTTCAGTCGCTCACTCATGTCTGACTCTGTGACCCCATGGACTGCAGCACACCAGGCCTCCCTGTTTATCAACTCCCAGAGCTTACTCAAATTCATGTCCATCGAGTCAGTGATGCCATCCAACCATCTCATCCTCTGTCGTCCCCTTCTCCTCCTGCCTTCAATCTTTCCCAGCATCAGGGTCTATTCCAGTGAGTCAGCTCTTTGCATCAGGTGGCCAAAGAACTGGAGTTTCAGCTTCAGCATCAGTCCTTCCAATGATCACTCAGGACTGATTTCCTTTAGGATGGACTGGTTGGATCTCTTTGCCGTCCAAGGGACTCTCAAGAGTCTTCTCTAGCACCACAGTTCAAAAGCATCAGTTCTTTGGCACTCAGCTTTCTTTATGACCCAACTCTCACATACATACACGACTACTGAAAAAACCATAGCTTTGACTAGATGGACCTTTGTTGGCAAAGTATGGTCTCTGCTTTTTAGGTATGAATAGGCATTATCTTGGAATTAGATGAGAAGCAATGCAGTCACCACAGCAGACACACCACCACGGGCTGACTGTACCCCCAGGGGCACCGGACCCCACGGCTTCTCTTGGAGCCAGCACAGCCCCCCGCCCGTGCTCGGGCTCACCTCCCGGCCCGCCCCGCGGTCCTCTCTGCAGATCCGGCCTGGGGCACGGCCACGTTGCCCGCCTACCTGGCCTCTCTTTCTTGCCTGAAGCTCTCACAGACTCCCTGGAAGCCGGGAGGCGGCCCCCCTCCCTGGGGACGGGACCCACATGGTGGGAGGGGACCTAGGAGGATGTGGTCTGAACAGCCTGCTCATCCTGGACAGTTCCATTCGCTGGGAAGAGCAGCGTTATTAACAGCGAGCTTCTCAAAGGAAACGGGCAGTGACCAGAAGGAGGCTCACTATCCTCAGCGGTCTCTTGGCTGGGGCTCCGTCTGCTGTCCAGCCCGTCTGAGGCCCTCCTCACAGGCCTGTGCGGCGCTGGCATCTCCTGCCCCCCCAACTCGTTCATTTCAGCCTCAGGTTTTGTTTTCCTTTAAAACTCACAAGCAGACACGCTTACACTCCCCTGGCCCTCGAAGGAGGGTTTGTGACACACAGTCTTGTCCACACCAGGCCCTGCTGGGTCGGGCCCCACACCAGACCCCCAAGGCCCAACTGTGTGGAGGCTGCAAAAACGGAATGGCCTGGGGGGTAAGCTGTGGTCACTCGGTACCCGGGCTGCAGATGTCCTCATGTGACACGTGGGGTGAGTCACACCTGACTCCATGTCCAGGGCAGGGCCCTGCCTGGGCTGAGAGGGAAGGTCACACCTGACTCCACGTCTAGGGCCGGGTGAGGGCCCCGCCTGGGCTGAGTGTGGCTCTCTGTCCCCCCACCCAGGCCCTGGCGCACGGCCACCTCTAGCCGCTGGCCACCAGGCAGGACAGTGCGGGCCTGAGCTGCCGGGACATGTGGGGCCCAAAGCAGGCCGAGACCGTCGGCACTGTGACCTGCCCCCTCATGCAGCCCCACGACGACCCCCACCCTCTGCCGGGCCTGGGCTGACTCGGGTTGGTGTGCCCCTGGGTGGAAGGCCTGAACGGGAGCCTCAGGCGCTAGGCTGTGTTGTCTTTTTCTATGGCAGCGTGTGCACTACCATTCAGATTTGTACTCAATTTTGCCGTTCCAGTGAAGAGAGCTGTAAAAGGAAAGTAGATGTGCTGGTGTTACTGGTCAGCCAAGCAGAGAGGGCAGGAGGTACAATCCTGATTAGACGCCCATGGGACTGAAACTCCAATGTGAAAAACACCAAAGATAAACAACGCTAAAAACACAGCATCAGGGTTTTTCTGTGAAAAGGGAGACGAGGTGACGAAAAGGGAATTCAGGGCTGAGGACGGACCTGGCCCCAGACCCACGGAGCCAGGGCTCCACCTGCAGGAAGCCTGGAGGCGGCGTCACGAGGGCTCCCCTGCGGCCGCTGTGTCTCCTCTGGTCCTGCCGCCCTTGCCCCTCGCCCCTGCTGCCGAGCCGTCCACCCTGGGACCGTCTGCCTGGCATGTGCCCACACTCCCCTTCTGGGGCGTCGTGCTCACCCTGCAGGTGTGCGCCCAGGTAGACAGGCACGGCGCCAACTGTGCCCTCAGGAGCATTTCTGACACCCGCACCGTGAGGCCGGGCCCTGCTCGGCTCCCCGGGGTGGAAGGTCGCCTGCTCTCAGCCTGCTCGGCTGTGGGCCTGACCTAGGTGAGAGGACCTAGGGCTCTGAGGGCAGGTCTCAGCTAACTGCGACTTGAGGACCGTAGTTCTTTCTTTCCAGCCCGCTGTGTGCCGAGCAGCATGGGGTGAGGAGGGCGCACCTGGCCCGCAGGAGGTCACACGCTAAGCCCACGGCTGGAGACAGACGAGCTGCATGTGACGGGGCCCAGGGGCGGGTCCGACCCGGAGGCCACACCGCCAGCCGCTGGCCTGGACCAGCCAGCCGCCTCCCCGAAGGCTGTCACAGTCCCCAGCAGGGAGGTGGGTGCTGGCTGCCAGTAAGAAGGTTCTACAGCATGAAGAGCAGACACGTCACACTGCTGCCCTGGAGAGCCCGAAAACCATTTATTCATTCATGTGGCCGAGTCGCTCTGTCAGGAAGAGGTGGACCGGCGCCACGGACACCCAGACGGGGGTGAGCCTGCTGTCATGCACGAGCCCCCCGTGGACACCCAGACGGGAGGAGCCTGCTCTCACTCGTGTACAAGTCCCCCAAGGCTGGCAGGCCCTGCAGGGAGAAAGACAAGGTCACTGCAAGGGGCCACAGGGGCTCTCGGGGCCTGCACTCCGGCTGCTCCCTGGGCCCCACTTGCCTGGATGCTGCCTCTGCATCAGCCCCGAGATGCTGATGGGCTGCCTGGGTGCTGCTCCTCTGCCCGCCGCGGGTGCTGGGCTCTGCCTTGGCCACTCACAGGGCATCTGCAGGGCCGGGATCCTAGCAGCAAATTTGATAGATAAAATCACCAGTGCCTTTGACCCCATGGCCACTCAAGGGCTGGCTGCTTCTCAGTTTCCAAGGGCACATGGCCAGCCTGGGGCCATGGGTCCAGCGGGAGCAGCCCCCACACAGCACCTGGCAGGCAGCCTCACTGGAGGCCTGCTGCGGACTGTGGTGACCCTGGCAGGGCCCCAAGAACCGCTGCTCATTCCTAGGGCCCAGAGCATCCACAGGGGACCCCAGGGTCCTCTGTGCTGATGCTGAAAAAGTTACAGTCAGGGGCGTGGAGCAAGAGGCAGCTCCCTGGGGGGTCAGAGGGCACGGAACGGGGGATGGGCTGGCTGGCTGGAGGTCAGAGGGCACGGAATGGTGGGGGGGGGGCTGTCTGCCTGGGGGTCACAGGGCATGGAGCTGGGGGCTGGTTCCCTGGGGGTCAGAAGGTGTGGAGTAGGGGGACCAACTCCCTGAGGGCAGACAGCCCGGAGCAGGAGGCTGGCTGTCTGGGGGTCAGAGGGCACAGAGCAGACCCCTGACATGGAGTGGAATGAAGGTGGCCTCACGGAGGTTTGGGTTGCAGCCCGTGTTCAGGCAGGCAAGGGGGTGGCTTTGCCAGTCACAGGCAAGGGGCCAGGGGTCTGGACAGTACCAAATGGCAAAGTGAGACGGGTGCTGGGTGAGGGGTGAGAGGGAAGGAGGGGTCTGCTATCTGCAGAGATTGCCTGGGCTCCCAGGGCTGAAGAACCCCCGGGGGAGGCAGCCCATGCCTGGCACAGCTGCGCCTGCACAAGGTGTCGCCCGGCTGGGTGCGCTGGGGCCTTTCCAGCTGGAGCCCCTTGGGGCAGCACCTGCAGAGTGGCCACCTGATGTCAGGAGACCCTGCCACCCCCGGGGTCCTGCAGGCAGGACGGCTCCTCCAGGGTTTTTGTGGCAGTGACCCGTGTCACCTTTCAGCTTCAAGAACATGAAGCGGTGCCCAAGGCACAGCCTCTCCCAGAGCCTGGGACGGGCGGGGCCCAGGTGCCCCCAGAGGCCAAGGGTGGGACCTACCTGAGCGCCTGGGGCTCGCTGGAGCATCGGGGCGTCAGGCCAAGGTGCTGAGGGCGGTGGGCGATGCTGCCTGCAGTGAGAGGTCAGGGGGGCTGTGCCCATCACCACCCCCGCCCAGAACACCCCGCGCTGTGCTGTCTTCTCGCCGAGTAGGCAGCCTGATGCCACCGCCACCCCGCCCCACTGCCCCATTCGGGAAGGACGCCCCTGGTGTGCGGCAGCTCTCGATCCACATCTGGACACCTGCCACCCCGAGGCCACTGGCAGGGAGGCCCTTCTGGCTCTGAGGAGGGAGGCAGCCGCCGGCAACGCCAGGCGCCAGGACCGCTGTGTGGTCTCCACCCAAGCTGCAGAGGCTTACCCTCTGACTCCTGCCATTGACCCCTCCCAGCCAGTGCGAAGCTTCTGTTAAAGATGTGAAGGGTCCCTGGTGTGCTTCAGCCACACCAGGGGGCAAGTATGGAAACACCGCTCTTTTAAATACCTGAATTCCTCTGCATCTCAGTTCTGGAGTTGCAACAGGAGGAAGCAGGAAAGAGGGGACACCAGAGTTTAGCTGAGGCTCGCTTGTGTCCCCTCACGTACCCCTTCCGTGACCAACCCACACCAGAGAGGGCGAGTGCCTCTCCCAACACTATGTGGCCAACGGGGGTCTCGTCTCTTTGCCTGGGGCAGTGTGGACTATGAAGACACAGCCCACAGCAGGTGACCGTGGGAGACCCCCAGAACGGCTGAGAGCCAGGATGAACCATCTTAACAGCTGTGTTCATCACGCCTGCTATATTCGGGGCTTTACAGGGTCTGACAACCTGGGGCCTCGATGACCCTGGAGGAATGGCCCCCCAAGTGGGCTGGCTCTCAGAGGTGGGCCCGCTGTGCCCAAGAGCTGTGTGCGCCTCTGACGTGAGAGCAGCCAGGCCGGGGCTGGCTCCTGTCTGTGGCGGCACTTGGCCCAGACAAGCGGGGCAGCCTTGCCACCTGCCGGCCTGCGCACCCCGCCGCCCCTCCAGGGCCAGCCCCCACCCTGGCTCTGGCCCAGGCCTGCGCCTGTGGCTCCCGAGCAGCCCTGCCTCCTGCTCCTGGGGACTGCGAGTCCGTCCTGCCCATGGCTCCCACCCTGCTGGCCTCCTGGAGAGAATCCTTTGTTCGGCGCTCACACGCTCGAGCCCTGATGGACAGCAGCAGCAGTTTCTCACCTGTGCTTTACAGGACTCTGGGGACAACTATCATTAACACCGCCGAGGACCCTGAGGCCCTAGGAGGTCAACAACTCACAGGCTGTGTGGGCAGCGGCAAGACCCCAGGAGCACAGGCGCCAGGCCCTCAGTTGGTGGTCTTTCAGGTCCTGCCTGAGAATCAGGGACACTGAGGTGGAGGTCTCTGTCCTGAGGGTGGTGACCCCAGCGCTCAGGAAACCGAGGCAGCGGCAGGGCCGGGCGGCACGGAGCTGTTGCAGAGCCAGAGCTGCAGCCCGACTGGGAGCCAGTGACCAGCCAAGGACGCCCCCAGGTCAGGGCCAGGTTTCAGTTCAGGAAAGCATGGTAATTGAGGGCGTTTGGCAAGATTTCCTTTTGAAAAATTCAGATGGAGACCATGTTGACATGTAAAGAGGGTGAACTTCACTGCTGGGCGTGTGCAGTGCTCGTGCCCATGACACCAGGACGGGGGTCCTCTGGACAAGACCCTGGGTGCTGACAGCTGGGAGATCGAGACAGGCGAATGGCTGGCCTCGCGCACAGGCTCATGGGTGGGAACCGGCAAGGGGATCGAGCCACGGTCTCACAGCTTCAATTCTTCCAGGGGTGTTTGCCAAGAACTGACTTCCAGCTGCCATGGAGCTGAAACCTGCGAGGAGACTGGACCATCCCAGGACATCGCCAAGGCAGCCGGCAGCCCCGCACCTGGACACCCACTGCCACCAGGCGGGCGGGGGCTCCCGCAGCTGGGCCGAGAGAGGGCGGCTGGGAACCTGCGGCTTTGCGCCCCAGGACATTAGGAGGAGGGGAGGGCACAGCGCTGTGGCCAGCACGCAGACCCAGACCAGCCACGGCCATCCTGGGAGAGCAGGGTGAGGCCCCAGGACTCACACCATTTTGAAAAGTCCTCCAAAATGAGCAAAGGGCAGAGAGTCCTCAGCTAGGAGAATGTTTCCTCACACGCGGGGACGCGGGGACAGGGTTGATGGCGACTCCTGGTCAGAAACAAGGGGCCAGACAGCAGGACGACCCTGCAAGGCGCCAGTCAACCGAGAATCTACCCAGTGAACTCACCCTCAAATGAAGACAACGTTGTTCAAAGGTGGCCAAAAACCAGGAGAGCTCCCTGCTGGCCAAGCTGCCCCACAGTGAAACAGTGCTTGGGTCGGGTAAGAGTGACCACCGACAGGCACGCAGCTCTGCGAGGTAGGAGGCGGGTGCAGATGCCTGTGAAGAGGGCTTGAGTCCTCCTGCCTCTAAGACAGTGAGCGTCTCTAAAGGAAGCAGTAGAGCCGGACTGTGGGCTCTTGTCATCCACGGCTCCACGTCAAGAGCCTCAGACGGGGGAAGCCACTTGATCAGAACTCAGTCAGGCGGCAACAGAGGCTACGGCTCCCCAGGCACGAGAACCACGGGACAGTGTCCCTCGGTTGGCTTGGCTCTGCACCACCCCCGCAGGCTCAGCTTCAGCCACCTCCATCTCTGTTTCCCAGAGTCCCGAGGCGGGTGTCCCAGAGCAAGGCACAGGCAGATCTGAGTCCTGGTGATCGGGTGGATCCGGGGTCCCGCCTGCCGACATGCCTTCAGGCTATGTCCTCACGTGACCTTTCCCTGAGTATGCATATCCCAATGACATGGATCCAACAGGATCAGGTCCCACCTTCAGGGCTGCACTGACCTCCTGAAAACCCCAGCTCCAAACACAGCCACAGCTTTAAGGGGACACAGTCCACAGCAAATGGCGCACTAAGAGTGGTGAATGCAAAAGGAGGCAGCTACGGAGATTCGGATAAACACGGAACCCCACACAGCAGAGAGAACACAGCACAGAGGCAGACATTCAGGCCAAACCCGTTAACAGCTGTGCTGACCCAGTGGACTGAACGCTCTACCCAGACGTGGAGATCACGAGCATGACCCAACCACGTGTGTCCACGGGACACACACTTTAAGTCCAAAGATGCAAATGGGTGAGAGCAAAGGACAAAAAGATGCCTTGTGCATACTGTACCCAATCCGAAATTCAATGAGGAAAATTCCACTATCAAATAACTCACTCCTAAGGTTCCAGTTTACAAAAAAAGCATAAGACTCGTACTCTGAAAATGACAATTCTTCAGGTCACTTAGGAACCAGTAAGTGGACAGATCTGTCAGGTCTCATTGAGAGGGCAACCCCCCAAACCATTAGCTCAGGTAGAATCTAATCAGTGGATCTTAGGATTCATGTGGAAATGCACTGCACTTGTTGTTCAGTCACTAAGTCGTGTCCAACTCTTTGTGACCCCATGGACTGCAGCACGCCAGGCTTCCCTGTCCTTCACTATCTCCCACAGTTTGCTCAGATTCACATCCATTGAGTCGGTGATACCATTCAACCATCTCATCCTCAGTCATTTCCTTCTCTTCCTGCCTTCAATCTTCTTCAGCATCAGAGTCTTTTCCAATGAGTCAGCTCTCTGCATCAGGTAACCAAAGTATTGGAGATTCAGCATCAGTCCTTCCAGTGAATATTCAGGGTTGATTTCCTTTAGGATTAACTGGTTTGATCTTGCAGTCCAAGGGACTCTCAAGAGTCTTCTCCAACACCACAGTTGGAAAGCATCGATTCTTGGGTGCTCAGCCTTCTTTATGGTCCAATTCCCGCATCTCTACATGACTACTAGTAAAACCATAGCTTTGACTATACAGACCTTTGTCAGCAAAGTAATGTCTCTTGCTTTTTAATAGGTTGTCTCGGTCTGCCGTATCTTTCCCTCTAAGGGGGCTTCCCTGATAGCTCAGTTGGTAAAGACTCCGCCTGCAATGCAGGAGACCCTGGTTTGATTCCTGTATTGGGAAGATCCCCTGGAGAAGGGACAGGTTGTCCACTCCAGTATTCTTGGGCTTCTGTTATGGCTCAGCTGGTCAAGAATCTGCCTGCAATGTGGGACACCTGGGTTTGATCCCTGGGTTGGGAAGATCCCCCTGAAGAAGGGAAAGGCTACCCACTCCAGTATTCTGGCCTGGAGAATTCCATGGATTCATGGGGTTGCAAAGAGTCAGCCACGACTGAGCGACTTTCACTTTCCCTTTCCTTCTGAGGAGCATCTTTTAATGTCACGGTTGTAGTTACCATCTGCAGTGAATTTGGAGCCCAACAAAATAATATCTGCCACTGTTTTCATTGCTTCTCCATCTATTTGCCATGACATAATGGGACCAGATGCCATGATCTTTGTGTTTTGAATGTTGAGTTAAGCTAGGTTTTTCACTCTCCTCATTCACCCTCACCAATAGGCTCTTTAGTTTCTCTTCACTTTCTGCCATTCAATTCAGTTCAGTTGCTCAGTCATGTCGGAATCTTTGCAACCCCATGAACCACAGCATGCCAGGCCTCCCTGTCCATCACCAACTCCTGGAGTCCACCCAAACCCATGTCCATTGAGTTGGTGATGCCATCCAACCATCTCATCCTCTGTCGTCCCCTTCTCCTCCTGCCTTCAATCTTTCCCAACATCAGGGTCTCTTCAAATGAGACAGCCCTTCGCATCAGGTGACCAAAGTATTGGAGTTTCAGCTTCAACATCAGTCCTACCAATGAACACCCAGGACTGATCTCCTTGCAGTTCAAGGGACTCTCAAGAGTCTTCTCCAACACCACAGTACAAAAGCATCAATTTTTCGGCACTCACCTTTCTTTATAGTCCAACTCTCACATCCATACATGACCACTGGAAAAACCATAGCCTTGACTAGACAGACCTCTGTTGACAAAGTAATGTCTGTGCTTTTCAATATGCTTTCTAGGTTGGTCATAACTTTCCTTCCAAGGAATAAGCGTCTTTTAATTTCATGGCTGCAGTCACCATCTGCAGTGATTTTGGAGCCCAGAAAAATGAAGTCATCCACTGTTTCCCCATCTATTTGCCATAAAGTCATGGGCCCAGATGCCATGATCTTACTTTTCTGAATGTTGAGCTTTAAGCCAACTTTTTCACTCTCCTCTTTCACTTTCATCAAGAGGCTCTTTAGTTCTTCTTCACTTTCTGCTATAAGGGTGGTGTCATCTGCATATCTGAGGTTATTGATATTTCTCCCGGCAATCTTGATTCCAGCCTGTGCTTCCTCCAGCCCAGTGTTTCTTGTGATGTACTCTGCATATAAGTTAAAAAAGCAGGGTGACAATATACAGCCTTGATGTACTCCTTTCCCAATTTGGAACCAGTCTGTTGTTCCATGTCCAGTTCTAATTGTTGCTTCCTGACCTGCATACAGGTTTCTCAAGAGGCAGGTCAGGTGGTCTGGTATTCCCATCTCTTGAAGAATTTTCCAAAGTTTATTGTGATCCACACAATCAAAGGCTTTGGCATAGTCAATAAAGCAGAAATAGATGTTTTTCTGAAACTCTCTTGCTTTTTTGATGATCCAGTGGATGTTGGCAATTTGATCTCTGGTTCCTCTGCCCTTTCTAAAACCAGCTTGAACATCTGGAAGTTCACGATTCACATATTGCTGAAGAGTGGTTTGGAGAATTTTAAGCATTATTTTACTAGTGTGTGAGATGAGTGCAATTGTGTGGTAGTTTGAGTATTCTTTGGTATTGCCTTTCTTTGGGATTGAAATGAAAACTGACCTTTTCTAGTCCTGTGGCCACTGTTGAGTTTTCCAAATTTGCTGGCATATTGAGTGCAGCACTTTCACAGCATCATCTTCCAGGATTTGAAATAGCTCAACTGGAATTCCATCACCTCCACTAGCTTTGTTTGTAGTGATACTTCCTAAGGCCCACTGGACTTCACATTGTAGGATGTCTGGATCTAGGTGAGTGATCACACCATCGTGATTATCTGGATGAAGATCTTTTTTGTAGTTCTTCTGTGTCTTCTTGCCACCTCTTCTTAATATCTTCTGCTTCTGTTAGGTCCCTACCATTTCTGTCCTTTATTAAGCCCATCTTTGCATGAAATGTTCCCTCAGTATCTCTAATTTTCTTGAAGAGATCTCTAGTCTTTCCCGTTCTGTTTTCCTCTATTTCCTTGCACTGATCACTGAGGAAGGCTTCATCTCTCCTTGCTATTCTTTGGAATTCTGCATTCAAATGGGTATCTTTCCTTTTCTCCTTTGCTTCTTGCTTCCCTTCTTTTCACAGCTATTTGCAAGGCCTCCTCAGCCAGCCATTTTGCTTTTTTGCGTTTCTTTTTCTTGGTGATGGCCTTGATCCCTGTCTGCTGTACAGTGTCGCGAACCTCCATCCACAGTTCATCAGGCTCTCTGTCAGGTCTAGTCCCTTAAATCTATTTCTCACTTCCACTCTATAGTCACTATAGTTCTGCCATTGGGGTGGCATATCTAAGGTTATTGCTCTTTCTCCCCGCAATCTTGATTTCAGCTTGTGCTTCATCCAGCCTGGCATTTCACATGATGTACTCTGCATACAAGTTAAATAAGCAGAGTAACAATATACAGCCTTGATGTACTCCTTTCCCAATGTTGAGCCAGTCCATTGTTTTATGTCCAGTTCTAACTGTTGCTTCTTGACTTGCATATAGGTTTCTCAGGAGACAAGTAAGGTGGTCTGGCATTCCCATCTCTTGAACAATTTTCAAGAGATTCTGTGGATCACAGTTTGTTGTGATCCACACAGTCAAAGGCTTTGTGTTTTTCCTTTGATCCATAAGGTAGTTATAATTGTGTTAATTTTCAAATATTTGTTTTAGTCCCAGATTTTTTTTCCTGTTGCTGATTTCCAACTTAATTCCACTTTGGCCCCAAAATACCCTCTGTATAAACAGTCCTTCCCAAGTGTCAGGGCCTGTCTCACGCCTCAGTGCAATGTCCTCTCCACAGAACGTTTCAACTGACCTTGGAAAGCCTCCCTCTGCTCCCTCACCACTGCTGGGGGCACAGTGTTTATCAGGTAAGTGGTCACTTACCTTACTATCGCTTGTCTAGTAGCTGCATCAATTACTAACAGTGAATGTCCAAATAAGTGCTGAAGGAATGATTACTTTAAAAATTCTGTGGTTTTGGCCCGTCTGTGTGGGGTGTCTGATAAATGGACCTGAGCTGTGCAGAAGAGCCTCTGCCCGCTGGGCGCACAGCTGCCTGCTAGGGTAAGGATGCTGCACTGGCTCCTGACCCACTGCTCGCTGAGGCACCTGTGTGGTGTCTCAGCCTGTGTGCACCTCCAGGCGCGAGGCAGGTCCCCCGCAGACAGTGCACAGCAGGCAGAGGTCTCTGCCCTAGCGGGCACTCACACCAGACGCTGTTCCAGGCCGATGCCGCGTGTCCACTCCACTGCTTGCTTCCGCCTCTGAGTGGGAGCGCGCGCCCAGAACGCACTCGGTTCGCCCCGCCGCCCGTCAGCCTCTGCTCCAGGCAGCTGTGCACAGTCAGGTGCGCACGCCATCGTGAGCCTTCGTCCTGTCACTGCAAGGCTCCCCCCCCCCGCTCCTGGCCCGTTTCTCGGGCGTCATTCGGCGTGGGGTCACTCCTCTCACCCTGACGTGTCTGCACTGCCGCTGGAACGCGTCTCGGGGGTGGGGCTACGTCTTCCCTGGCAGGCCTGCTGCTCAGCACGAGATGGGAGGGGCTGGCGCGCGCCCGCTCCTGCCAACTTGCTGTCTACTCTCTGCGCCTCGATGCTCCCCTGTGTTGCCTTCTAAATGGTTTTTAATGGAACTGCTTCCATTCCTCCAGATTTAAAATGGTTCTTTCCTTTTTTGCTTTTTAAAAATTGAAGTACAGTTTACTCTCAATGTTGTCTAGTTGTAAGCGTACAGCTATGTGTTTCAGTTACACATTATCTATCCTTTTCCATTATGGGCTCTTACGATATTGACAGAACGGAGAGGCAATAAGGCCCTGCTGGATAGCAGGGGTACTGCGGTCACCACCCACCAGACCCCGGGCTCCTAAGGGGAAGGTGCTCCTAGCAGCGGGTTCGGTGCCTTGGGCCTGCAGACACTGGGATGAGACCGATCCGTGCAAGGCTGTGCCAAGGTGGGGGCCTGGAAGGCCCAGTGCCCAGGAGGAAGGCCGCCTCCATCACCAACGGGATGGGCCAGCAGGAAGCAGGCAGTGCCTGAGGACGCCGGAGCAGAGGTTTCACAGGGGCTGAGAGGTGCTGCATCCATGGAGCAAGCGGTTGAAGCCCTGATTGGTGGACACGCCAGCTGCACAGGAGGATGGAGGTGGGCAGAAGGCAAGGAAGCGCCCGGGAGCGACTGACAGCCTGAGATCCCAGGAGAGCAAGGGCAGGGAGACAGAAAGGCGCAGGCCTGACCTGCACCCATGGTTTCCATCTGAGACTGGGCAGAAGGAAATCAAGCCCCAACCAGGTGCTCAAATGCCAGGGCGGCACCAACAGGCCCTAGACGAGGCGGCGCAGAATACCTGCACCTCAGGGGTGACGCTCGGGACCTTGGCCTCAGCGAGAGAGGACAGGAAGCCAAGGGCAGAGGCGCAGCAGCAGCGGTGAGAGAAAGCCAAGGCGCTGAGGGTAGAGAGGAGTCAGCACGCGGCTCACGCATGTGCGTTTCCATGACGACGACGCCGAGGGTAGAGAGGAGTCAGCACGTGGCTCACGCATGTGTGTTTCCATGACGACGACGCCGAGGGAGCTTCCGCGAGGGACTTGGGGGGCACGGCGTGAGCCTGAGCCTGAGCCTGGTGCTCAAGCTGACTCAGGGAAGGGCCGGGCGCTCACCCAGCGGCCACGCCAGCAGCAGCCAGGAGGCACAGCAGCACTAGGACTTCTGTGCACAGCCCAGAGACAGGACAGGACACCAGGGCCAGCGGCCCCTGCATCACCTCAGGTGGGCCTGCAGGAGTGGCCCACTTTGGGGGAAGGGGAGGCCCTGCAGCACGTGCAGTCTGGGCGAGGCGAGGCGTCTCCACTTACCCATGCGTCCATCCCGAGGTGGGCTGAGCAGGGAGATCCTCGGTGGGCCAGCGGTGACCTCAGGCTGCATTGTAAAGAGAGAACGACCGCTGATGCTCCAGACTGGCTCAGGAGCAGAGACTGTCCCTGTTTGCTAAGAACACAGATCCTCAGTCGCATCTGCTGGTGTTGTGTGCGGGAACACGGCCGTTGGTGACTTTGCGCCTGCCGCCCCAGGGGGCCCAGGTGGTGAGTGAATGAAGGTTCCACTGGTGACTTTAAGGATCTCACAAGAGGAAAAGTAAACGAAGTTCTTGGCTGACATGAGGAGTTCGAAAATCCTGAGTAATCCTCACTTTGGGAGCGTCTCGTCACCTAGAAATCCAGATGCTGACAGACGCTGGCAGGCGGCGGCGAGGGCAGGCGCGCACTGCAGTGTGCACATGCCAGGCGGGGCCCCACCCCACCCCGCTGCCCCGAGCCCGCCGCTAACTGCACGGTGGGGCCTGGTAGGGGGCACACGCCCCATGGGGGCCAGGAGCCTGGGCCTGGCACTACTGCTGCTGCCCACCGGCCAGCACGCCCCATGCCCTCACTGCGCCCTCGCCCCGCTCCCAGGCCTGGCAGCACAGTGCTCCCTTGCTCCTCCGTCGCGCGGTGAGCGCCAGCTCTGTGGCAGCCTCAGTCTGCGGCCCCCTCTGCCGACGCCTCCACCCCAGGCTCGCCTCTGCTGGCAAGACGACAGCCTCAGAGGGACCCCCAACACTCTGCAAGCGGGGTTGCACTGCCCAGCAACCTGGTGTCCACCCACGGGAGCAGCTCCCCGCCTCTGGGCTCCAGCCCCTGCCCACCCAGCGCAGGCTGACACCTCGCAGAGCCTGTGGGGATTGCCAGGCTGGCTCTGCACGACACTCGCTTCCCGCCGAGGTGGCGTGGCTGGGTGTGAGCAGGCCCCACCTCAGCCTTCCTTCGGCCGCTGTGCTCAGAGCCCCTCCGGCTTGGCCCCCCTCCCAGGCCCCCTCTGGCCCCCCGCTCCTCCCCCACCCCCAGCCCATCCCACACTTGGCGCCCCGTGCCCAGCAGAGCCCAGCCTGAGAAGCCAGTCACAGCGTGGGGACAAAGCGCTGTCAGGCAGAGTCTGAGCACCGTCTCTCCTCACAGGCCGAGCCCTCTGTTTGCAGAAGGGTCTATGACGGCACACAGGAAGACTTTGCAGGCGCAGGGCATCCAGTGGGCATTGCCGCTGCCCAGGCTGGAGGGGGCGTGAGTGCAGCAGCACCAGGAACTGAGGCGTCACGAGGCCACCGGGCCAGTGAGAGAGGGGGCACCCCCGCCCGTGACCACACCCCAGCCTCCCCCCCAGGCCTCTCCTCGGAGCCTCCTGGCGACCAGCCGCCTCTGCATGTGCACCGTGGGACAGCTATCCACGCCGGGAAGGACCATCCGTGCAAAGTGCCTGGGACCACACATGTGATGTCGGTGCACTCACCTTTCTCCTTGGAGGGGGCGTGAGGTCAACTTCCATGGACTCGACCCTGTTACACAGGCAGCGAGACGGTCACGGGCTGACTGCATGGAAGTAACACAAACACGCACGCACGCACACGTACACATGCACATGCACATACATGCATGCATGCACGCGCACGCACGCAAACGTGCACACACAAGGCCCTGTGGGCCTCCTCCCTACAGCTGCTCAGCACTCCCAGAGTGCAGTGATCACAGCCCCGCCAAGGCCAGCAAGGCCTGTAAAGCAGACACACCTGCCCACCGACACAGATGCGCCCATCGACACAGATGCGCCCACTGTGTGGCTGAAATGGCCTCCCGTCTCCTGCCCCCCATCTGCCCCTGGAAGGTCCACTCTCAGCTCCTCCTCGCCACCTGCCCCGTCATTGGGCTGCTCCACCTCCTGCCGGATGTCCAGGGCGGGACCCCACCTCTGTCCACCCTACCGCCTGGCCCACGTGGTTTACACACGCAGTGCTCGTCCACATGAGCTCCCTAGTTAACCTGCTCCAGGCTGGTGGGGACGGGGCCAGGCCTTCCTGCAGGTGCACGGAGCAGCTGGGAGGAGGGCCTTGCTCCCTAGTTTCTGAAGAGCTGGGGACGGGGGTGTGGCCTGCCAGGCACGGCCGGAGCACCCCCATCAGCCTTGCTGCCCACGGGCCCAACTGCAACTTTCCAAGAAAGACACTCCACTGGGGGTCTAGGTTCCAGAGGCTGCCACCGGCCCACCGCTCTCATCCCAGTCAAAGGAAGGGCCCAGCCTGGTCACGTGGCCACCCCACCCACCCCTCTGGCTGGGGATGGGAGTAAGGGGCAAGCGGCAGAGGCGGGGGGAGGGGGGGCGCAGGGGGGCGGGGCCTGTGCTCAGGGCCTGAGCTGGGGGCGGGGACTAAGGGCGCAGACCTTTCAGAGGCTGATGAGTCACGGGACTGGAACAGAGGTCCATTTGGCCTTGCTGAAGGCACTGTGACGAGAAAGCACAGACTACTGTGCTGGAGCTATAGGCACACCCAGCACCTGCACCCCCCACCCCTTCCAGGCATCACTTCACTTACTTGAAGCTGGAGTTTTTACTGTGCTGAAAACTGCTTGTTGTGACCTCACCCTAAATAAATAGAGAAAAGGCATTAATTGAGTCGCAAACATTTACATCCAGGTAATTCCTTCCAACCTGAAGTAAGGAAAACAGAAACGACCCATTTCACCATGACATGCCTTGGCCCCTCCTCACCTTGGGAACCTGCACAGGCCTGGTCCACCCCAGAGGGGCTCCCCTGAGTCCCCAGAACCCACAGCAGGCAGCGCCAAGAACACAGCGGGCGCTCCCTCGAAGCCTGCTGAGCAGGACCGGCTGCTGGGCCCAGCTCCCAAAGGGCATTTGTGCCTACTTCCAGGTGACCTCGTGAAACAAGTCTGGTGTTGCTGTGTGGGGTGGACAAGCGTCCACGGTCCCCGAGACAGAGCCAGAAGCAGAGACACCACCAGGGCAGGGAGGGGAAACCTGGGTATGCGTGATCTGGGGCGAGGGTGCCAGCTGCGGGGTTCCCCCTGGAGTGAGACCGCAAGCCACACCAGTGCAAGCGGAGTGGAGTGGCCAGCAAGGGGGCCTGGCCCAGAAACCACCGCCCCAGAAACACCCCACCTAGAGACCAAGGAAAACAGTCAGACTTGAACCTGGAGACACAAAGCGCTGTGAGCCTTCCCACCCGCCACGTGCCCTCCCCCCGCCGTACGCCCCCAAGACTTGCCTCTGCAGCTGCTCCACCCGCAGCGTCGACTTCCTGAGGGACCCCTCCAACTGAGAAACCTAGACACGGCCGAATGACTTCCCGTTACCACACAGGCCGGATGACAGTTTAGAGGAGACAAGTGAATCCTCAAGTTCTTAAACCAGGAATCAATGCAAGTGATGCGGCCATGGCCCTCGCACTTTTTGTGAGAGTTTGTACCAAGTCCAGGTCACCAGGTGTGTCGGAAACGGGCTCCAGGAATCTCTCCAGGAAGTGTGAAGCCCAGCCCAGCACCGCCGCGCCTCACGGGGCACCCTTTGGGCAGAGCACCCTCCCCGCCCACCAAGCGCCCCCGTGACGCCTGCCCCTTGCTCCTCTCAACCCACACGGCCCAAAAGGAGGCTTCAACCAAGTCAAGCTGAAGCTCCACATTTGTTTTCACTAAAGCTTTATTTTCCTTCTTTTGAGTTTCAAAACCAAGTGAGGAGGATGCTTTGGGGATAAGCAAATGGGCACTAAACCTCCTTTTGTGAAGATCAGCCAGAGCTACTTTATGCTCACATTTATGGAAAAGTACCACATAAACTGTGGGGTGACTGCGGGTCTGTACTGATGTCCAAGGTGGAAGTGAGACCACAGTTGGGTCTCCAGGTGGCTACATGGCTGACCTCAGAGAGGCACCGTGCAGCGGGCTGAGCGTCTGCAGGCAGACACCACCCAGCAGCCCATGCCAGGAGGGGATAATGCAGACACCTTGCTCCCTGCCCGCTGACTGGAGTTACCTTTTCTCCGTAGAAGGCTAACAGTCTCCTCCTGTGCTTTTCTTGAAATTCTGAGATCTGAGAAGACAACACACATCAGCTGCTGCAGAGGCTGAGGCCGGGGGCTTCCCGAAGCCCCTGGCTCCTCCCCAGGCATGGCCCCCCTGCTGCTCAGCAGCCAGAGCAGATATGGGCAGACCCCGGGCTCAGTGGACAGCCCTGGCCAGGTGAGCTCCACCCAGAGGTGCTGAGCACCACGGGTTTCATGTGAAGACCACGTGGGCACGACGGCTGCTCTGCCCCCTTCCATGTGGCTCCAGGGGCACTCAGGACACAGGACAGGACACGACCCACACGGGCCAATCACCACGTGCTATCCCTCAGGGAGCAGCCGCTGGATCTCAGGAGCCCCCCACCAGGACTTCGCTGGGCGGGGACACCACCAGGCAGGCTGGCAGGGCCACACTGCTCTGGGAGCCCAGTGATCTTTACTAGCCGGTCAAGGCCAGCAGTGCCTGAAACCAGGACCATCCTTGGTCTCCAATTATGAGCCCTAACCTCCATGTCTATGGAGCAGAGCCTGGACTGTTCCTGGAGGTGCTGACGGATGTTACAGGAGAATGACTGACTCACTTCTGGGAAGGGAGAGCTGTTCGTTTACGTATTTATCTGGCTGTGCCGAGTCCTGGTTGTGGCACGCAAGGTTTTCCATCTTCTTTACAGGATGCAGAATCTGCAGTGACAGCACACGGGATCTAGTTCCCTGACCAGGGATAGAACCTGGGCCCTTGCACTGGGATCGCAGAGTCTTAGCCACTGGACCACCAGGGAAGGCCCCAGAGAGAGCTATTCTGAAACCTTGGGGTTTTCAGATGACACTCACCCTCCTGAAACACTGAACTGAACTGTTTAGGCCTAATTCTTGTCACCTGTGCACAGCTGAGAGACGGCGGAGACGGTACTGAGTAAGCTGGTTGAGGCCTCTATCATGTAAACGCTCCCCCGGTCACTCCCTGCCCCCAGGCATGCAGATGGCAGGGCATGCTCCCAGGGCTCACTGGTCTGGTCCAATGGAGGGAAGAAGTCCTTCTGTGCAAAGGAGGCTGGCTGTCTCAGGGCAAGGGGAACCACAGGCAGAGGGCAAACACCCTCCCAGAGCCCCTGCCAGCCTGGCTGCTGGCTCATCAGAGGGGTTCAGAGCCCTCGCTGTTGGGGACTCGCCCCACGGGACAACGGATGTGCATCTCCACCCACAGGAGGGTCAGTGGACACAGGCTCTGCCCAGCGCGCCTGCCTGTGGAGGGAAATGATGCGAGGGCACCCAGGGCCGCCCCTGCAGGAGTCCTCACAGCTCCTGAGGCCCTGTCCCAGGAAGGCTCCGGATCACACCAACGGCCTTCACTCCCGCTGCCCCCACTGGGCCCTCGCAGGCAGATGCCCAGTCCTCACTCATTAGCTGGAACTGATCCTGCCCCTCCCTCTACCTCCCCCGGGCAGGACTGGAGGTGAGAGCCGTGCCCCCAGGAAAGGTCTGAACAGGTCTAAAGCTGCCTTCCCATCACTGAAGCAAAACAAGGTGACAGTCACTTCTCTCAGCTCACTCCTCCGAGGGTCCCACGCTCAGGGCAAGAGAGACCGATGTCCGAAGCTGACCCCTGAACGCATGCCTTGGGGCAGGGCCCCGCCTCTGGGCGTGGCCCCGGGCTCCTGCTCAACAGCGTCAGGGAGCCAGTCACAGGGAACCCCACCTCTGAGGCACTGGGCCCAGAGAGGGCCGTGGACAGGCCACTTCCAAGGAGAACCTTGGTGAAGACCAGCATGCAGGGCTCCATGATTCAGACGCAGCAGGACAGGTGAGGCCACAGCAGGACCAGGGCCATGGGCAAGGCTGACTGTGGGCAAAAGGCCGGGGAGGGGGCGGCCCCCGAGCAGCAGGTGGGAGCAGCCCCACTGAGGGCAATGGCTTCGTGTGTGCTTGGGCGCGGCCACGCGCCACCTAGCCAGCCTCTGGGGTTCAGTGTCGGCCTGACCGACAGCAACAAATTGAAAAAGGGCTTGAGTCCCCAGCTGGAACGAGAGAGAGATGAGACTTGACGACACTCACACGAAGTCTGCAGGCCGTGCCTGACAGCAGCCAACCCTGGGTCTCCGCAGAGGCCGAGGAGGAGCGGACCGCGGCCATGCCACCCTGGAGCCCAGGACAGTGGGAGGACTGGGCCGGAGGCAAGACGCGTGTCCTTGGGTCGGGTTACGGTCTGGGAGCAGCACATGCCGAGGGTGTCTGTGCCGAGGGGTCAGGAGACTCTGTCCAGCCCAGCGCCCTGTGTCCCTTCTCCACGTCATGGGGAGAGGCTGGCGGGTGAGCGCGTCAGAGGTGGGGAGGGTTCGGGGCGGATCTCAGTCAGCTCAGCAGGAACCGGTGGTGCTGCCGCCGCTCAGGCAAACCCAGGCCCCGCGCAGGCGCTCGCAGCCTCGGTCCCGGCTGGCTTCACTCTCTTCGAGTCACAGAGGGCCCCACAGAGACCGTTCCACGGGTTTTACCTACAAACGACTGCCCTGTGAGAAACTAACGCAGTGAGAAATTAAAGATGCTCATTAAATGCACTGAAAGTCACAGCAAACTCAGCATGCCAGCATCCACAGCAAGCTGCCCTGCTCCCTGTTGTGGGCCACTCTGCACGAGGCGTGCACTTGACCACCACCAGCTGCCTGACCACGCCTGGTGGGCGCACGTGTGGCCGGAGGTGGAGAGGCAGCCACTCGGCCTCCCCCGGGGCCCCAGGCTCTGTGCTGGGCCGTCCCTGGAGAGACCCCTCCAGGTGCAGGGCTCCCGTGGACTTCCCATGGATCACCACCGGGGGCAGCTCTGGCCCCGGCGCCTGGCCTGAGAGAGGTCCTCCACTTCGACTGAGGCAACAGAGGCAGTCCTGCCCAGCGCTCACCTCGCACTGATGCTGAGTCCCAGGGCCTCCATGGGCCCCTGGCCACCCCGGGCCCCTGGCCACCCCGGCACGAGGGGTCAGCCCTGGCCCAGCTGGTGCTCTCGGCAGAGCCAGAGAGCGGCCTCCCAGGGAGGCGACAGTCCCCCAAGCTGGCTGACCATGGTCTCCAGGCCCACAAGCCCACGGTCCTGTGAGCAGCAGTGCCCAGGACGGGCCTCAGCCACAGTCGGCCCCTGCCGCTGCCCTACTCGGCCTTACCCCAAGGGCAAGTGGCAGGCGGCCAATGCGGGGTCTGCACCTTTAACAGAAAGATAGTGGAGTGCTGTCCAATGACATCTAGTGAGGAATGCCCAGCATTAAGGCTGGGGATGGAGCAACTGTGCAAGAAGCAGAGATGATGTGCAGGCATGAGGGGGTAAGGAGAGGACGCGCAGGCACAAGAAGGGGTCAGGAGCTAACGCGGAGGCACAAGGGATCAGGAGAGGATGTGCAGGCACGAGGAGGGGTCAGGAGAGGACGTGCAGGCACGAGGAGGGGTCAGGAGAGGACGTGCAGGCACGAGGAGGGGTCAGGAGAGGACGCGCAGGCAGGAGGAGGGATCAGGAAAGGATGTGCAGGCATGAGGAGGGATCAGGAGTGGATGTGCAGGCATGAGGAGGGGTCAGGAGAGGACGCGCAGGCAGGAGGAGGGGTCAGGAGAGGATGCGGAGGCACGAGGTGGGGGTCAGGAGAGGATGCGCAGGCACGAGGAGGGGTCAGGAGAGGACACACAGGTACAAGGGGTCAGGAGAGGATGGGCAGATACTAGGGGTCAGGAGAGGACATGCAGGCACAAGGGGTCAGGAGAGGATGCGCGTGCACGAGGAGAGGTCAGGAGGGGATGTGCAGGCATTAGGAGGGGTCAGGAGAGGACATGCAGATACAAGGGATCAGGGAGGATGTGCAGGCATGAGGAGGGGTCAGGAGAGGACGTACAGGTACGAGGCGTCAGGAGAGGATGTGCAGGCATGAGGACGGATCAGGAGAGGACACGCAGGCACTAGGGGTCAGGAGAGGATGCACAGTCACAAGGAGGTAGGAGAGAGTGTGAAGAGAGGGCGTCAGACACTTTGTCAAGAGTCAGCCCGCTGCCCGGTGTCTGGACGCCTCAGGCCCACCTTCCAGACCCAGAGCTAGGGCCCAGCCCTCAAACCCTGAGGCAGCATGGGCGTCTTGATCGAGCAGCCACTGTTTCACACCCGCAGACATGGGAGCAGTGCCCGGCCTTCCACAGTGGGGGCGGACATGGACTGGGCTCCCAACCCACCTCCAGGGCCAGGGGACTCACCTGGGAGGTCTCCTTGGCATACTTCCTGCACAGACTGTCTATGCCCATGAAGAGCGCCTGGATGTCGGAGTCTGTCTGAAAGAGAAAATGCTGCTTCTGCCAATGCTGCCTCCAGGGCCCGGAGGTCCATGCGCTTCAGGGCCGAGACCCGGCTAGGACGCTGTCGCAGCGGCTTCCCGGGGCCCCCGAGGACACCTTGGTGTGGGCGAGGGGCAGCGCCACCTCCTAGGGACCAAGGGTGGCGCTGAGGAGTTTCGGGCAGCTGCCGGGGTTGGGGCAGCCGGGTACAAAGCAAATGGTGGAATCAGAAGCAGGAAGAGCAACGGGCACAACTTCTAACTCTCGCAAGTATGTGTTGAGTTACTTGAGCGTAAATGTGACAAAAGAGGGTTTATGAACTGGCACCTGCCCACCGGCACGCCTCCTGAAGGCACTCCTGCCTCCCCTCTCCCCTCGTCAGCACGAGAGGCACAGAGGGCGCGGACAAGGACACACATGGGCCTGTCCCCACTGAAGTGAGTCACGCTGCACTCGGAAAGAGGTCCGCAGAAGAAACCAGGAAACACTTGAAGGGCCAGGGCCCCAGGAGCTGCTGGAAGACCTTGTGGCAGGGAGGGGGCGGCTGCTTCATTGGAAAGGGGGCAGCAGCTTTGCGGGTGGAGGCAGCTACAGGGGAAGCAGCCCCAGACTCCTCTCAGAGAAGGGGCTGGGAAGGGCACTGGCAGGGCAGGGGGCCTGCTGCAGGCGCTCCAAGTACATGCGAGCCCCACACTCATATCTCCACCCGAGACCCTGGACAGCACCCGACGCCCTGAGCCCCATACTTCAAAGGAAACAGGACAGAAGCCTGCCCCCATCTCCAAGGGCCCCGGTGAACCCTACACACAGCGGCAAGAGCCCCAGTGATGAAGACCGGATTGATGCCCACTAAGGACCAGGCCCCACAAGGAGACCTTCCCGGGCCCTGGGGGAGGCGAGGGTGTCGGTGCTGACCTGCCAGGGCCCAGGGCTTCCCTGAAGGGAAATAGGGATGGGGACCCCCGACGGCACAGAAGGGGCCTGCACTCCCTACGCGCGAAGGAGGAAATATTAATAGAAAAATTCTGAGTGTTATTTCATTTAATCTTTTCAACAATGCAATGAGGGCCCCAGAGCAGATGGGAAAGGGACCTTTCCAGGAGCCCACAGCTAGGACGAGAATTCGCTCTGGGTCTGCCAAATTCCAGAGCTGGGCTCACACTAAGACACACTGGTTACTCCCTAGAAGCTTATTATGGGAGAACAGTTCCTCCAAGTGTGGACCATGGGATATTAATATGTGTTCCTTGAAAAAGGGTTCTGTCGCAAATGCATTTGAGAAGCCCTAGGTGGAGGAGGTTTAATGAAGTGATGCACTCTTTCTATTTTGAAGACAATGTGGTGGTCAAGAACCCTGGCTGGCTTGGGAATCAGTCAGACTTGGGTTCTCAATGCCTCTCTGTCTCTCTTTTCGTTTGTGATGGTTAGAAAGACATTTTGCACCACCACCCTACCCTCCCACACCACCAGGCCTCACTTTTCCCCACTTCTAGGAATTTATGCTCCAGAAATAGTCTTACAAGTATGTAGAACTATGGTAATAAAAAAAAATGTTCCTTTTAAGACTGAAATAGTAAAAAACTGAAAAATCCCAAAGGTTTTTTCCTCTCACACCAAGAAGTCATTTTTAGAGAATGTGGGTGTGTACACTTTAGAACATGTAGTATCAACTGGGAAATACCACTTTGTTAAAATCCCACCGACACCCAGAGCAGGGCCCACACTCCTGGTTGTTGTCCTTGGAAAACAGGAGTTGGGGACTTTCACATTCTGTTATGGTTTTCTGTTACGTTTGAAGTTTGAGGTAATTTTATGTTTGTAATCAGAAAAAGAACTTTTACAGATTAAACATCAGATCAAATACACGTCTTGGGACCTAAACTTGAATGGATCAACTTTACCCTCTTAACCAGAATGGACCCCAAGGAGACCAACCCCACCACCGTGAGGAGCTGCAGACGCCCCACGCCCGTCCTCAAGCAGCACTCAGGCTCTGGTGAGGGGACAGCTGTGTGAGGTATTCAGAACCACTAGTGGACTTTATACAGAAAGTCTGCATGATCTCCTAGCACACCAAGCAAATCAAAGTAAAAATTGAACATCACACTTAAAAAAAAAATCACTGATTAATATTAATATACTATAGACTTACATGTTTTGAAAGTAGAATTGTACGACAAGCAACTTTACAAATCAAGCATTCATCCCTTTTACCTACAAAAGAAAGCACACTTTATTACAGTGAACAGTGCTTTTAAACATATATAAATGCAGACCTTAAATTACAGTACTTGTAAAAGTATACAGGATTATAGCACTTACCGTGGACAAGCCTGGGGGCATGCACATAGCTGAAAAGACTTACACAGTAACAATCCATTTTTTCTTGTTATCCAAATATGCTCCAAAACAGTGGCCATACAGATCAACAACTCTTAAACTTAGATCAGCCCAGATTATTTCCAAGCATATTTTATAGAAATAAAATGGGGATAACTTAGCTGAAAATTTTAAACACTACAAAATGAAAGCTCCTCCCCCCAACGTGACAGCTCCAGGGTTTTGCTCTGCAGCTTGGCCTTGGCAGCAGGGCTCCTGGGAGGGCCAGGCTGCTGAGGGGCTGAGAGCCAGAGCCGAGGCGGCTAGTCCCCTGGCCGCCCTGCCCATGCTCGGCCTCCTCCCACCCACCCCTCCTCCACTGCCTGGCCCTGGGCCCCGCAAGGCTCCCCCTCCTCAGCCCCCTCGCTTCCAGCTCCTCTCTGGCCCTGCCCGGTCCTCACAGCCTCTGATCTCGTTTTCTCCACAAGGCAGCTCGGAGGCCAGGTGTCCACACCTGGCTGCCCCAGGTCCTCCTAGGCAGCACCAGTGGCCCAATCCCAGGGCTGTCCCTTCCACAGTCATCGCCTGAGAAAGAGGCCCCATGAGGCCTGCCTCTCTCCCCCTGCCCACACCAGAGCTGATGAGCTCGGCCCCCTTCCTGTGTCTTGAGGGGACGCCTCCCCTTCCCCACCCCAGGCCTAGTCTTCCAAGGGAGGGCTCACCTCCTCTCCCACCCATTGCCTCCCACAGACCCCCTAAGCTCCGCCTCCGCCCACCCTCTCTCCTCCCAGCACCCAGACAGCCCCCCTCTCCTCTCTACAGGGCACTTAGGCAGGTAATCCTCAGGCCGGTGCCCTGACTGCCTAGGAGGCCTGGTTTGATATTTTGGTCTCTCCCCGCCCTAGCCTCCTCCTGCCCTCACTCAGCTTCTTTAGGAAACGCTCTGTCCCAGGTGAGAACAGGCTTGCGTGTCTCCCACCCTCCCCTCTCCAGCCCCTCCAGTCCCCTCCCCACTGCACTCCGGTCTGGACCACCAGACCCTTGTGTGCTCACAACCCTTTGCAGCCTCCCTGCACGGCTGGCCCCGGCACCTCTTTTCCAAATGTGAGGTCCTGAGCCTCAGCTCAAACCTGCTGTCTCCCCTGGTACTCTGGATGGCCAGGGGGGCCCCACCCCCAATCTGGCCAGCTGCCGCCCAGACTCAAGTCTGCCCAACATGAGCCCTGCTTCTGTCCAGCCCTGGTGGCTGTCCTGCTTAGACACGTCTCCCTGTGCTGGGCTCCGGTTCCTCCCAGAGTGCTGCCTCCCCTGCCCCCATCCTGCGTCCTCCGGCTGCCAGGATCCATACTCAGCCAGCCCACCTGGGCACACGCTTCTGCCGCCCCAACCCCAGAACCTGCGAGCCCAGCACCAGCACGCCTGTGGTACCACCACGACAGACAGAGCCTGGAGGAGCCCGAGGGTCAGTGGTGAGCTGGGAAACATGCCAGGCCGGAGCAGGTGTGGTGGGGAAGGGGCGCGAGGGGCAAGCGTGCACCGAGGGTCCTGAAGGGAGAGGCCCAGACACGGGTCTGTGCGGGGCGGAGTGTGGGGTGAGCCTGGCACTGGCTGGAACCCCTGCTCATGGCTGCCCAAGGTGATGGGTGCCATTTCCTTCAGAGCGTGGGGGGGGGGGGGCAGTGATGTTCTGATTTCTTCATCTGTGAGCTGGTATCACAGGTCAGTCACTCTGTGAGAACTCTCTGGGTTTTCATTTAGGCTTTTTTCCTGACTGAGCTCTCTAGGTCAATAAAAACAGTTCAGAAACAGAGAATGTCTGTCAAGGTGGGGCCACAGGCGTGGGTGCGGGGCTCGCAGGTCCTGGGGTGGGGGCCGGATCACACCTCACAGCCCGCAGGCAGCCCAGCCCCCTCCCCTTACTTCAGGCCCTCACACGCACCGCCGCCTCTGGGGACCGCTCTGCACCCGCCTCCCCGTTTCCCGCCCCACGCCCTTCGGGCTCCAAGGGGCAGGTGGGGCTGAGGTGCAGGGCCCCGCGCTTCCCACTGTGCCGGCGGCCCCGCTGCGCCAGCCCAGAGGCGTCCAGGAGACACGAGCCCGGGCCTCTTGGCCGGCGCCCTGGCCCTGGTGCCGCCAGCCCTCCCCCAAGAAGCCCTGCTCCGAAGGCCCTCCCGCTCGCCTCAGGGCGCCTCCTCCTTGTGTGGCCACCGCCCAGGAGCCCGGCTGCCGGCCAGCGCTGCCCGCCCCGCCCTGACCTTTGCGCAGGCAGACATCACAGTACACGTGGCCACAGTTGGTCAGGCTGAAGCACGACGTCACCTGGGGCGGCTGGAAGCAGCGGTTACAGAACACCCAGCTGGCCATGTCTGGCCCAGGGCCGCGCCGCCGCCGCGCGAGAGCCACGCGAGAGCCACGCGAGACCTGGACGCGGGATCTGCGCCTGGCCCGAGGGCGTGACTCCGCGCCTGCGCGCCGCAGTTGTGCCGCTCCCTCCAAAACGCGCCCCGGAAGGTACCAAGGCAGGAAGGGACAGGGCGAGGAATTACACTTTGCCGTCTGTGGGTTGTCTCCGCCGGACGTCGGGGAGGAGGAACGTGCAGCTGAGGACCCAGCCGCACTCACTCCAGCGCTGCAATCCCCAGCGATCCTCCTGAGGGCAGTGTGTGGTACTCCGGGAGCCATGTGGACCCCCGGGCGGTGCCGAGGTGGGTGCGCCGAAGCCGCCGAGTCTCAGGGACCCTCACAGGAGGCAGTGCCTGGGCGGAGGGTGGAGCCGGCCACAGGGAGACCTGACGTGTGCCGGCCTTGAGCGCGCTGCGCTGAGCTGACGGGCCAGGAGGCCCTTGTGCTGTGGTGGCGGTGGGGAAGGTGAGCGGACTTGAGGGCTGCAGACTGGAGGTGGGAGGGGAGGGGGCCCTGGGCCACGAGGGGCCAGTGGGGTCAGAGGAACAGGAGGTGGGGGTGGGGGGCACCTTGGGGTGGGGTTCTAGGAGATCGTTGGGCCAGGTTGGGGCGCCAGGAGGGCTTGATGGATCAGCGTGGGGTGTGACTAGGGCCCAGGACCAGCTGACTCGGTCACATGGCAAAGCTGGGCCAGGCGAGCCAGGGCCTTGCTTGCCTCTGGCGTGGGCATATGAAAAGTCTTGACCTAGAGAAGATTGTTTTCCATTTACAAAGATATAGAGGAGCTGGTGGAAAGGACTGTTCTGTTTTTTGTAGCCTCTAATGAACTTGTAATTAGAATTTAGAGAAGGACTTTCCTGAGCATCTAGTGGTTGAGACTGGGCTTCCAGTGCAAGTGATGTGGGTTCTGTGCCCAGTTGGGGAACCAAGACTACACATGCTGTGCAGTCCAAAGGAAAAATAAAATTAGAGAAAATGAAGGGAACCTAACTTCATATTATTTCAAACGTCATGGAATGCCCCACGCTCTCCGTAGAAGAGCCGTTTCCATCGCCCTGATCAGGTGGAGGGGGATCAGGTGGGACCCGCGGAGCAAACTTGGTTCAGAGGAAGTCTCTGTGCAAATGGAGAAAAGTGGCCTTCTTCCAGGGAAACAGGAAGACTCAGAGATTCAGGATGACTGACGAGTGCGTTAGGGAAAATATGTACCCCTCTGTCCCAGGCTGCAGCCGGGAGCCTCCTGTGGCCATTGGACCTTGAAATGGGACTGGGTCCAAGTTGAGATATGCTTTGATTGCAAAATACACCTGAGTTTCCAAGACTTCTTATCAAGAAAGAAAAGTAAACTATCTCATTAGTAATTTTGTATTGATTACATGTTAAAATGGTAGTGTATTTGATGTATTAGGTTAAGTATATGTCACTAGTGTTAATTTTACTCTTTAAAAAACCTTGTTTAATGTGGCAACCAGAAAAATTAAAATTTACATATATGGCTCACATTTTATTTCTGTTGGACAGGGCTGATCTATTCCAAGTTTAAGAACAGAATCATGTGTTTATTCTGTCAAACTCAGAAGCTGTATTGTTAGTGACATTTTATCAGTGTTGTTGTTCAGTCTGTTGGTCATGTCTGGACTCTGTGACCCCATGGACTGTAGCACACCAGGCTTCCCTGACCTTCACCAACTCCCAGAACTTGCTCTAATTCATGTCCATTGAGTTGGTGATGCCATCCAACCATCTCACCCACTGTTGTCCCCTTCTCCTGCTTTCAGTCTTTCCCAGCATCAGAGTCTTCCAATGAGTCAGCTCTTCGCTTTAGGTGGCCAAAGTAATGGAGCTTCTGCTTCAGCATCAGTGGTCCTTCCACTGAATATTCAGGGTTGATTTCCTTGAGGATTGACTGGTTTGATCTCCTTGCTGTCCAAGGGACTCTCAAGAGTCTTCTTCAACACCACAGTTCGAAAGCATTGATTCTTCAGCACTCAGCCTTCTTTGTTGTCCAACTCTCACATTCGTATGTGACTATTGGACATTTTATCAGTGTTACAATGCTATAACATCAATTCCAACCTTAGATGTCTTTGAAATCAGAAAATAATGCATACTTATGAATATATTTTATTAACTCAAACATTATGCAAGGTAGAAGGTAATCATTTGCCTTTACTTTTTATTTATTTTTATACAAGTTTCTTAGCTATAAAGAAGTCTTTAAGGGACTTCATTTGGAAAATTCCAACTGAGATAAAGATTAACGTTTGTGTAAATGCCCACCATAAGACGTTGCTGTTTGTATCTTCACTGGTCATTCGAAATTTTTCTTCACGGTCCTATATAGAAGAGGAATATTCAGGTTAGGTTTCTTAAGGTGCTTCATGCATGAATTTGAGGGGAAGGTGCTATATATATTTAAGGTACTTAATGTCACCCAGGTAATATCTTATGCCAAAGAGCAGTATCTGATTTTTCTGAGCTAAGGTGTGTTTTTAGCCAAAGATAAGGAGGGGGCGTCAACCTTATAAAACATACTTTGATATTTTGGTGTAAAATATCAAGTATTTGATCTGTTACTTTATATGTTTTATTTGTTAGCATCAAAGTGTATATTGCCTAATTGATACTTTTTTTTATCGTTCCAGTTCTTACTTTACTTTAAGCTGGGCACTGTGCTCATTTTATTTTCCAGATAAGGAAGCTGAAGCTTAGAGACAACAGAAGGTTAGTGAGTGGGGAGAGATTCAGGCCCACATCCAAGCAGGGTCCACTGAACACAGTGACCTGGGAAACACACAGTGTCACAGGAACAAAACAGTGCTGTAGAAAGTGGGCACCCTCGACTGCAGATGCACAGGGTGTGTTGGAAGCCCTTATTTATTCATCTGTGAGCTCACGCCCCTGAGGCGAGCGAGCCACAGTCCCTTTCCTAGAGAAGCTCATAGTCTAGCAGACAGCAGAAGAGTACCCCCACCAACCCTGCACATCCACACAGTCCTGGAAAAACCTAGGAAACAGGCAGTTTTCTCTTTCCCTGGTTCAGGGGCTTAGTCAAGAATTATGTTCCTGGCAGGAAGAGGGGGTGTAAGCTGATTAGGCAGACTGACCCTTTGATAGTTCTGTTCTTTGACTATTTGCTCAATTTGCTCGATTAGATGTTCAAGCTTGAAGCTAACTTCATTAACTTTGTCCTTTGCTTGAGTAATGGCTGCATCAAGGTCATGTTCTCCGACTCGAATATCTAAGTGGATCCGCTGTACAAACAGTAAAAGGGAGGAAACGTATTTTCATGTGGCTCGCTCATTTTCCTTGTTTTTCCCTCATTGTGTCCTACCAGTCCTTCCTTTTTCTCCAGTGCCCCAACCCCGCACCTTTCTGAGAGTAAATACTCCTTCATTCTCTTTTTGCTTCACTGCTGCTCCATTCCAGGTTATACTCAGGAGTCTTTCATTGTCACAATAATGCATTAAATGGTACCTGCTGCCCTGAAAGAGCAACTACACCTTCCTGAGCTATGTCCTCTAGAGTTCTGGGCACATGCCTTTGGCCCTGAGACAATTTGATTACTCTCAGGAAAAGGTTCTCTACATATAACTAAATTTCTGATGCTAACATACAAATTCTCCATCTGTTCTCAGAACCTTTAGAAAATATCCAATCACCATCTACCGTGTAAGAGTTTCATTTATTGGAATTCCATTATTAATTCACCCTTCAGCCTTCAATTGTTTTCAAGCCTGAATAATCACAGTTCTCAACCTTCCCTCCCAGTTCTCATTTTTCAAGCCCTTTAATCAACTTCGTGGCTCCGCTTTGAACCCCTTCCAAGCTCTCCAGCTCCCTCTTTAGTTGCTGTTCTAAGATCTGGGTGCAGGACTTTAATATAGCCTGGACGTAATTATTCTGCATATCATTGTCACACCTGAGTAATGCTGACGCTGTTCATGTGCAAGGACATGAGGGCATTTACTTACCAGCTTACTCCCTCCAAATGACACAAGCCTTGTAGAATTAGATTGTAAGCAAATGATGTGTTCACCAGGTGAATGTGAAGTGAAATAGAATGTTCCTTGTGGGCCATATAACTTTGACAATAATACCTAGGATTAAGGATTTCCATAGTTTAAGTTTATTATTCTCTATATTCCATTAAAAAAAATTAAACCATCCCTATGTAACCTAGTGAAATTTGTGCAGTTCTTAAAGAAGAAATCAAATTACCGATAACAAGAAAAATATTCACTCTTTCTGCCAATCAATAAAGTACAAACCACAGTTAGATATTCCTTGTTAGTTATCAGATTGGCAAAGACTTAAAAGTACCTGGGGCGGGGATAGTATTGAGAAATGCTACCTCTGAACACTGTTTTAAGAATGTAGATTGAACAGCCATTTCAGAGAATGGTTTGGTAGTACATATGAAAAGTTAAAGTGTATCTAACCATTGACCCAACAGAGCTTCCTATGGAAGTTTATCCTATGGAAATGCTCAAGTAGACAAAGTTACATGTAAGAGCTATTCAGTGTAATGGTATTTATTTTAAAGTTTGCATTTCTGAAATAACTAATATATTTCAGTAGGGACTGATTAAGTTTAGGTGAAGACAAATGAAAAATTGCTAGTAAGAGAGGCTGTTACAACACCCATAAAACACCCATATTATACTAAAGGTGTCCACGATATTAGGGGTAGGCTGTATAGGATCCTATTTTGTGAAACGTATTATTTGTAAAAGTGCATGTGCTTAGAAGAAGATTCTAAAGGTTCCAAATATTCTAAAGATTCCAAGCTATTAGGCAGTTGTTTGTTTGGGACTTTGACTTTTCTGCTTAGTACATTTCTATATTGTTGGACATCTTACAAATAGTGTAGGGCTGCTAGTCTGGTACACAAGGAGCTTCGAAGTTGTTACTCTGTGTTAACAAGTAAAAAGCTGCATGAAAAGGAAGTCAGTTCTTAG